ATAAAGATGCTGTGAACACAGGTGTATAAATAAACACCTGTTTGCGTTCCTGCTTTCCGTTCTTTGGGGAATATACCCAGACACGGAAATGCTGGATCACATGGTAATTCCACGTTTAATTTTTTGAAGAACTGCTTTATGTTTTCCAGAGTTGCTGCACCGTTTTACACTCCCATTGGGTGCCCCCCTTTCTCTTTATTGTCCTTCCTGTACCCTCTACCCTCCAGACACAATGGCCTACTTTGCTTTTTTTTAAAAATAATACCAGCCCCACTCTTGCTCTAAGACTTCTGCAGTAGTCGTTCCCTCTGCCTATGAAGCTTTCCACCCAGATGTTTGCCTAACTGGCTCTTTCTGATCTTTCACCATAGACTCCACCGGTGATACCTTCCTTGGTGAGTCGGTTGCTGTGCCATCAGCATGGCACTTACCAAGATCTCAAGATTCCCTTGTCTGTTCTTTTTCCTTTTGGACTTACCTACCCAAAACCATATCCCCTATAGCTAGTTCTATAGTACTATGACTGGTACATAGGCGATCCACGGCAATTGTTGAAAAGTTATAGGGATTAATCTGATAAATTTCCTGGTGTGTTATATGTGAACATTACTCATTAGTGGAAACCTGTAATCATGACTGAATGAATAATAAATGTTCTTTAGAAACAAATTAAACTAAGGACCCATAATTTCATAGTATAATCAAGAATGGCAGTTGACCTACTTATCTTCATAATTCAGACTCCAGTAGAAATGTTGGGCCTCATTAATTTGGATATTTCAGGAAAAATGTGTTCTTTGGTTTCAAATTATTTTAATAATTGCCTCAATACTTATCTATGCCTTATACATGCGCTCATTGTCCTAGGGGTACTTGTGAGATCTTTCATGTACTTCTGAATAGCGAATTTCAGTGTCAGCCTCCAAAGAGTATTCGCGTCACACACCTTCCACAGCAGATTTCCTGAATTGATGTTTTTATAGCTCATTCCACTAGTAGCTGCTTTCATACTCTGTGACATCATCTGTGCTGGAGAAAACTCACTCCCGTAAGATAAAAGGAAAATTGTCATTTCTGTCTTTAGACGAAGAAGTGAATGGAGGGGTACAAATGGGCTATTTTGGATTGTGAACAATCTCCTAACACAGTTATCTTTATAATGAGGCCAGGTATTATGAATGGCTTAGGTCTAATACTGCCTTGACAGGCACCCTTCCCTCTGACGCTGTGATCTTAGCTGAGTGGTAAATGCCATTAAGTATTTAGAATGGAAGGCAGTATATATTCTTATGTATGAATACCCTTATTTTTTTGTAATGTTAAAATTGTTTTAGGGTTAGGATCTAGAATTGAAACTACTTTTATGCAGTGACAAGTAAAGATGTGCTGTGTGTACTAATAGCCTCTCTTCTTCAACAGCCAATGTCTACACTCATCACCACGGTACCTTTAAAGCTCAAATAGATGTAATTCTGTGGGTCCTACTTTAACTAACTTGCAAGGGAGATACTCTGTGGTTTGCAGAAAGATGGAGAAAGTTATTGTTCTGAAAACATTTTAGATAATTGTTTTTCTTTTATTTAAAAAGATGTTGAATATTGTCATTAAAAATGTAAGGCTTTGCCCTGACTGGTTTTGCTCAGTGGTTAGAGCATTAGCTGACAGACTGAAGGGTCCTGGATTCGATTCCAGTCAAGGGCAAGTCCCTTGGTTGCAGGCTTGATCCCTGGCCCTGGTAAGGGCATGTGCAGGAGGCAAGCAATCCATGTGTCTCTCTCACATCAATGTCCCTCTCTCTCTCTCCCTCCCCCTTCCACTCTGAAAAGCAACGGAAAAAATATCCTTGGGTGAAGATTAAAAAAAGTTAGGCTTTTATATTATTTTTAAAAAGTTATAATTGCAGAAAATATGAATACTATTTAGTTCATTTTATAAATGTAAGATTATCTTGTTGTTTCAACAATTACTATAAAAGCTTCAAATGTGTTACACAAAATTTATTATAGAGCTCATTAAATTTCAAGGACACTGGAGAGCCTCTGTGGCAATAGGGTTACAAAGTACTTTTTAAATGAATTTACTGGGGTGACATTGATTTACAAAACCATACAGGTTTCAAGTGTACAAATCAACAAAACATCTGCACGCTACATCATGTGCCCATTGCCCAAAGCAAAGTCTCTTTCCACCCCCATTTATCCCCCCTTTGCCCACCTGCACCTAGCCTGTACCCTTTTCCCTCTGGCTATCACCGCACTGTTGTTTGTGTCTATATGTTGTGTGTGTGTGTGTATATTTTTTTTTTGCTGAATCCCTTCACCATTTTTTATCTAGCCCCCCAACTCCCCTCCTCTCTGACAGCTGCCAGCCTGTTCCATGTATTCAGGCCTCTGGTTCCATTTTGTTCATTGGTTTACTTTGTTCATTAGATTCCACAAATAAGTAAGATCATACGGTATTTTTCTTTCTCTGATTGGCTAATTTAAGTATTAATCCATCCCTTTCATTGCTTTTATTATTTTCACTTAAGGTTTATCGTAGAAAATCCTTCACAGATGTTGTGTTTCTGCTGTTAAGGTTTATATTAGAATTTTGAGATAATATTTTTATGGTGCCTTTGCATATCACATCACAGGATCCTTCAGGGCAAAGAATAGCTTGTTTCCTTTTTGTTCACAAATGGGCATCTATAGAAGAAAAAAGCACCTGAGAAAGTGCTGTTTATGTAGCACCTTTAGAATGTAGCATCTTTTGAGAAGCTGTTAACATAGTACCTATTTAGTAACAGGCACTTTAAAAACTTTAATAAAAGTTTTTTATTAAAAACTTTAATAAAAGGCACACTTTCATATATCACTTAAGCTAGAAGTGTGTTTAATGGTAGGTAAAGCTGGTAGAGACTGCGTCTCCTTTTGCTATTACATTGGAGAAAAATATATTGTAATATTTCCTTTAATCATCAAATTCTCTTACATAATTTGACATATGTTACCATTAGAGATTTCCAGTTAGGAAAGAAACAATGAACACAAAGCATTCAAATAAGTTCAAATCACTACTGTTTTTGAGTATCTATTAAATTGCCAGGAACTGCACTAAGCCCCTAACGGACTATCAAGTTTAGATGGGCACTTTCTTTCTTAAATTTCTTCCCAAAATACTTACCTGATTTTCAAAAAATGGATTACATATGCTGGTTTTAAACCTACCAAAATATTTATAATGGTGTGCTATAACTGCCTTTACACTTGTCTGCACTTCCCATTAAATTACAAACCCCCAAGAGCGAAGGTTTTATGTTTTATGCCTGCCGCATTCCCTTTGTCCTGTGTCCTGACCATCCTCATTACCTGCTCCATACTCTAAAGATACTTATGTTTTATAAATATTCAATTGGGTGGTGATAGGTGTCCAGAAAATGGACACAGAAAACTTTCTTTAGGATGCGATCATAGGGAAAATGATGATATAAAAATCAGAATGCGAATTTATTAATGTTCAACACACAATGTCCTTAAAATTACGTTTCCTCTAACAGCTCCTCACGATGAGAATTTTTTATGCATTATCTCATTAAATTTCCTCATTACCATATAAGACCATCGCTGTCCTTGTCATCATTCTGCACGTGAGGAAACTGAGGGTTCGAGAAGATCGGTAAGGTCTTACGGTCCCTCACAGCTAGTGAGTGTACAGGACAAATTTGGACTCTTCTTTTGAATACTCCCAGAGCTGAAGCTTTCAATCCATCAATGTTTGAAATGCCAATTGAATTAGAAGACAGGCTCACGGAAGATAAGTAATGTCACGAGGAAACACAGCTAGTAAATGACATTTGGTCTGATATTAAACCAAATTTGCACCCTCCAGAGTCTTTAATCCAGGCCACTGTCTCCTTTCCTTTGCTAATCAATGTACTTTTCAGAGATGCAACAACCTATAGGTCAAGGACCATCCTAACCATGCCGAGCAAGTCATGGCCCTAAGCTGTTTTTCCTGACAATTTAAGAAAGGACTTCCATGTTTATTTTAGTTTTAATTAAATCAGAGTAAACAGTCCTTGGGAAAGACAGTTTTTGACACTCTGTTCCCATTTCTATTATTCTTACATCTGCCTTGATTTTGTCACCAAGCAAGGGTCTGCTGCCCACTGCGCGTAAGAGCAAAGTTATGAAACCGGCCTTTGAGAGAAGAAAGAACTTATTTGTTAAATGCTGAATCGACTCATCAGAAGCTGAGAGGCCCCACTCAAATATGACTCCCCAATTTGGCATCCGGACAAGTTTTAAGGGCTAAGGAGAACAGGATGGGGGCACGAGGCAGTGCTGGCAGGGCAAGTTTTGGTTAGAGAGTTTTGGAACTTGGCCAATTATGGTATAGGGTCCAGGGGCAAGAGAAAACAAAGGAATTCCAACCTGGCAGGGTTTGATTGCTCTGTTCTGCCTTTGTCCATATTTGGTCTGGGCACCGAATCCTTTCTGAAGGGTCTCTTGCTTCGTAAAAGGCTCTGGTGGCCACACTTCCATTACTTGAGTTCCATGGGCTGAAGATTCTTGGTTCCAAGGTCAACTTGAGGTCAGGGATAACATGCCCAGTGCTGTCTCTGGAGAGTAACTCAAAGATTGCATCAGTCACCAGCCTGCTTTAAGGACTTAGAACCAGTTTAAGCTGGACAGTGTGACTTGCGTGCAGTTTCAATGTCACCCCCTATTAATAATACCCAAGAAGGAACATGGGGGGAAATGAGCCCCCAGCAAAACTACTGGAATAAAGATGAACGGAAAGTATTCAGGTAGCCCCTTGTGCTTAAGAAATTCCCTGAAAGTCAAATCAAACATAGGAAACGTATGACACGCTGAAACGTGGAGGAGCTTGGGCCTTAAGCGGTGCATCAGTTGAGCATCTGTGGAGTGGGGCGTTAAGTGTGGTTTAAGTGGGAAACATATCTCGCTGTCCGTTCTTCACAAGGCAGGCTGATGATGCCTCTCTTTGAATTCTAGAGTCTCAAGTCCCTGACCAGCCGAGCTCTCTTCATGTGAGGCCCCAGACCAACTGCATCATCATGAGTTGGACTCCCCCCTTGAACCCCAACATCGTGGTGCGCGGGTACATTATTGGTTACGGCGTGGGGAGCCCGTACGCCGAGACAGTGCGCGTGGACAGTAAGCAGCGCTATTATTCCATCGAGAGGTTAGGTGAGTACCTGTGCTTTGTCATTTTCTTAAGAGAAGTAAATAATGTATTCCAATTATTTTCTTTCTTGAAAAAATGCTCTTAGAAATGTTATTTCAATTTGCATCGTATATTCTTAAAACAATTCTCTTTCTCTATCTCCCATGCTTCTACACACACACACACACACACACAACACACACAGTTTTTCCTCTCTGGATTTCCAATTGGGGAATTTTATGTAGGAAGATTCAAAACATGGAAAATGTATCACATGGAAGATATGAAAAGTGCACTGGATCATTTTTCTTTTTCTGCTGATAAATGGAAACTTCTAATCTTAACAATTCTTCTGAAATGAAAGTCAACACATTTTCATCTCTTTCTTACTAGGAAGATAGTCTGTCAATTTTCTTTAACCTTGAATTATCTGGTCACATGACCTTCTTTTTCCTCTGCATTTATAGATGAAGCTTTATGGCTGTGTCATTATGACCATAAAACAACAAAATGAAAAAACAGATTTTCAATCAAGCTAGTAACTTAGAGTTATCAAGCTCCTCTCTACATATATTCCTGATCCCTCTCCGATCCAAGCTCTCTTATTGTACTCAGCCTTAGTTTACTGAATACAGTACTTGACTTGTGATATTTAGAAATTCATTGAAAATCTGTTTATTCAGAGAGGGCTGTGTAAAAGTGTTCATATTTATTTTTTATCTGATTTTCCATAATGCAATAAGAGAGAAATAAAATTAACAGGGAGAAAGTAAAATAAATATATGCCCTATACCAGGTGCCAAGAATTTAAACAATTCTCATAAAGCAAAAAGCAAGTTGATTCTACTTGTTGATTTAACACCACATTATTTGCAGTGAATTACACTGACCTCCTCACATGCAGCCTTATGGGGGGGCATTGCTACTTATTTGCAATGTCTCTCACAGGAGCCTGATTTGAATTTGAATAGCTTTTCTTACATCAGCAAGAAAAGATATTTTAAGTGCAAGAGGGAATTGCACTGACCCATTCTCTCTATAATTGCTCCAAACACTAATAAGAGAAGCACCTACTGAAAGTCTTCACTGTTTTAGCTAGCTTGGCATTTAGAAATAATAATATTCTCTCAGTCAGTCCTTCAGTTGGAATGTTAAGGCAATCACAAAACATGTATTTTATGGCTGTCCAGCCTTTGTCAGGGGACTCTCATTGATCCATTATTCAAGGTACATCGTCTCTGACAGTTCCTCTTGATGCCACACAGCAGAGGGAGAGATTTCCCTGGCACTGCACAGGCTCCCCGACAATGGGAGTGTGGTGCAAACTCAAAATGAACTCATGAAGGAAACTGCATCATTTCGCCATGTCCCTTTGATAATGACGCTCTTTACTCCAGACTCCCCAGGAGTCTCCAAGTCTAGCAGAGTTGAGGAGTTTGGGAGATGAACACTGACAGATCTCTCCAAATGCTTAACAAGAAACAGGAAATTTCCCTTGGTAAGGTATGTTTGTTCCTAAGAGGTAGGGAGGTAACATGGGATATGAACCTATCTCACTGATAATCATGAGTTTGCATTTTAAATTTTATCTGAAAAGAGTAATTACACACTCCTGCCCCGCAGACACATACACGTATATGCACATATGTATTTAAGTTCCACCAGCTTACACTATTTTAACATAGTCCCATATCTAACCATAACATAGGAAAAAAATAGTGTTTTGTCATTGTTCAGTATCTTCATGCTTGTGCAAATAAACATATTTTTTCAACATATGTTTCATTATTTAGGCAAAGTGTTAGACATCTTAATATATATATATATATATATATTAAGCTGGAAGAATATATATTATATGTGTGTGTGGTATGTATATATAATGTCTAGACAACTTCATGTTTCTAAATCTTTAAAATTATATTTTAAATGATTTTTCAAAAATACCATGAAAGCTAATATGCCTACTTTAATGTTCGATAGAAAAAATAAAAACAATTGATGGTTTTGTTATCTGAGAAAAGCATGGGTGGTCTTTTCCCATTGAAAGTGAGAGTGGGGTTCTTGGGGTACCACTGGAATAAGCATTTCTGCAGGCCCCCATGGGAGGAAGAGATATGGTAGAAAGCTTTATTTCCATGAGATTACATTCCTGGGTTTCCAAAGTCCCATTTTCCTTCATTCCAGTTATAGAAGAAGTGTAGCTGGGGTTTCAGTAAAGCTAAAATCAGAGTCACTGTCCAGAGCTTCCTTTCCCTGTTGGACTGGCAGCAGTCCATTAGTCCATCCTGTGTTCCTCATCTTAGGGATGGAATGAAATAGGGTATTAGCTGTAGGTTCATAGCTGTCTGTTACAATGAGGAACTTTTATATTTTTCCTAGCTTTCTGGGAATTTTAATCATATTTGTTGCCTTTTTGTGAAATAATTTTCTAGCTCTTGAAATGATCATTTGGTTTTACTCTTTTTATTTAATATGATGAATTATATTGATTATTTTTTAAAGGGTAGCTAATTTGAATTTCTCATGCAAATCCTATGTGGTCATGATGTGGTACTCTTCTTATATTGTTGAATTCTATTTGATAATATTTATTAAGGATTTTTTTGTGTCTATATTCATGAGGAATATTTGTTTACAATTTTCTTTGCATGTAGTGACTTTATCCAGTTTTGGGGTTTTTTAAGTTATACCAGTTTCATAAAATTAGTTGGACAGTTTGCTCTTCTTCTGTCACTAAAAAGTTTGTGTGAGATTGATATTTTTTATTACTGGAATATTTGAGAGAATTCAATAATGAACTATCTCGATCTGAGATTTCCTTTTCAAAAAGGCTTTTGATAATGAATTTAACTTCTTTAATATCTATAGGTATTCTATGTTTTGTGTATTGGTTTTGGCAAGTTAAAGTTTTTATGAAATATGTCTACTTCATTTTGTTATACTTGTTGGCATAGAATTTTCATTTACAATAATCTTATTATTTGTGCTGACAACTGCATTTTCATTTCTGATATTGGTGATTTATGTTGTTTTTGTGATGAGTCTAGGTAGGGGCTTGACAAATTTGTTGATTTTGTCAAAGACAGAGCCTTTAACACTACCAACAGTCCCTTCTATATATCTCTCATTTTGTTTCTTTCATATCTGCTCCTATATTGACTATTTTTTTCCTTATACTTAATTTTAGTCATACTTTGCTCTTCTGTTTCTAATTTGTTAAGGTCAAATCTCATAATGTAGATATTTATACTATTGGTGTTCCCCTAAGTACCACTTACCTTGTTTCCCATAATTTAAAAAAATATATGTCTTTGTTGATTTCAGAGAGAGGAAGGGAAAGGGAGAGAGAGATAGAAACATCAGTGATGAGAGTCATTGATCGGCTGCCTCCTGCAAGTGCCCCACCAGCGGTCGAGCCCACAACCGGGCATGTGCCCTGACTGAAATCGAATCACAATCTCCTGGATCCTAGGTCAATGCTCAACCCCTGAGCCATGCTGGCGGGGCTCCCATAAATTTTGATGTTGTATATTCATCATCATGTAGTTCAAAATATTTTCTAGTCTTTCTTGACTTCTCTTTGGCCTCTGAGTTATTAAGTTCATTGTTTAATATTTAAATGTCAGGTTTTCCTAGATACTTTATCATTAGTGATTTTTAATTTTATTTTACCATGAATAGAAAATACACTGTTTGATTTCAACATTTTTAAACTTGCAGAGATTTGTTTTCTAGACCAGCATACTGTTAATTTTGTTCAATGTGTTATGTGAACTTGAAAATAACGTCTATTCTGCAATTAGATGTAGAGTTGTGAAAACATCCACTAGATCAAAGTCTAATACTATTATTCAGATCATCCATGTCTTTACTTTTTTGATGAATAGTCTGTGAGTTGCTGATTGTCAATCAAAGCCTTTTAAAAATATGGAATCATCTATGTCTCCCTTTAATTCTGTCAATATTTTTGCTTCATTTATTTTGAGAGTTTGTTATTAAGCCAATATACATTTATAATCCTAATACCTTCTTGGTAAACCACCTCACTTGGTGTTATAAATGTCTCTATCTTTAATAATACTCTTGGTCTTGAAGACAATTGTATATCAGCTCTTAATAGTATATTAATTCTAGCCTTCTTAAAGTTTACACAGTTATTGTCCATCCATTACTTTCAACCTATATCTTTATTTTAAAGTTTCTCCATTTCTTGTAGGGAGCATATAGTTGGGTCTTGCTACTTTATGCATTCGGAAAACTTTTGCCTTTTAATTAGAGTTTTTAGATTACAGTGGTCCCTCGGTTTTCGAATGTAACCCATCCCAGAGACTGTCCAGGCTCTGAAACATTGGGAAACCGAGGGCTCCACAGCCCACAGGTGGGCCTCAGGGCCTTGCCCTCAGCGGGAGCCACGGGCACGTTCCACTTCCGAGGCCCATTGGAAACCGGAGCATTTCCTCCCAGGTTCAGGTGTTTGTAACCAAAATGCTCATCAATGGAGATGTTCGAAAACCAAGGTACCACTGCATTAAAATTTAATGTAATTATGTAAATGGATTTAGGTCACTATTTTTTTTTCTTCTGTTTGTCCCCTCTCTTCTTTGTTTTCCCTGTGAAAGAGAGAATGTACAATTAAAACTTTTAGAGTTTTAGTGATCACCTATCACTTTTTTTGAAGTGTTTTAACCCCCTTACAGGAAGATGTTTTTAGTTATTTTCATGAATACTTAATTGTTATTTGCTTTCATTATTTTCCTTTCGATTGTGGTTAGTAGAGGGTGTGCTTTCAAAAGACTTGTGTTTTAAAAATATAGTTTAAGGACACTAAAAAGTAAATAAAGATGGAATTGGGTGGACTTCAAATCTGGATTTAGATCCGTGTTTTTCTCTCTGCCATATGTTTAATTTTGGGAATGTGATTTATTTCAGTGAAAATGTGGGAAAAGAATACCTTTTATTCTCTATTTTTTGGTGTCAGGGAGTTAACAGATATTGCAAAGAGTTAATAGAAAAAGAGAAG